CAGTACCATCAGTTTCATCACGAGGAAGTTGACAAATTTCAAGTTATTTATCAGAAATATCCAATAATTCCTAAATGCAATAAGATACTCAACAGCTGTCTCAACACTATCAACACATCCCCATGTTATGATAATGCATGGACTAATAAAAAAATTCAGTTCCTTTGAAGATAAAATACGAGACGTAACTACAGTACAAAGTCCTTAATCCGGACTCGTCAGGACTTCGGCGATTCCGGATTAGGGGTTTTTCCGGATTATAGATCATCAATTTAAATCTGGGTAAGATGGCATGCAGAAATTATACACTTAAAAATATGAAATCGTAATTTATGAAATACAGAACAATTATGATCTAAAGGGTATCAAAATTTACAAAAAAAAGCTTAATATTTATTTGTTTACTTTATTAAACATTTCTTTCAATGTAAGTTGTTTCTGTTGCTTCGTTTTTTGTGCTTATACTCTCTCTTTAATTCTATAAACAGACATGATTTCTTGTTCAATTACAAAGTTGCACTGTTGAAGCCCTGTAATTGCTGTGTCGACAATACCGACTAACTTGTCAATCAAATTTTTTTCATTTTCAATAACCTCTCTGTCACTTTCTTCACTATCGGAGGTGCTCATGTGTAAACGCTTTACTGGCTTTACGTACAGGAGTAGGGGATGTGCGCATCAAACGCGCATGCGTAAACGCATTATGTGCATGTGTAAGTTGGTGACTTTGAGGTCCAGATTATAGATAATTCTAGATAATGGATGTCCAGATTACTAACTTTGTTTTACTCTAGATTACAGATATGGAATTTTTTCATCCAAATTAGATTCCCCTTTCTACAAAACAAGGAGATTATGTTTTCTGTACAACAACAGGGTTCCCCTTCTTGAAATGTAAGGGGGTTTCTTCTTTCTGAGAAAATATAACAAAACAAGTTTCTTTTTATTTTCAGAGGAAATTTGCAATAGAGATAATTCTCTCATTCACAGAATGGGGATTACAGGTCAGTATTCCCAACTGAGGAAACTGGAAGTTGAATGAATTACAGCAGATATATTTTTTTCAATAAAGTGAACCATTCATTGTTAGAAATTTTACAGTCTTGTTCAGTCACCTACTCTGATTTCAGTATTTGGGGTACATACACTCCTCAAAAGTGAAACTGCAACACTAAGAAAGAAAGCTTGTAGCATCATGAAAATTGCAGGATCAAGAGTTGTGAGACGGACATGCAAATGATTAAAAAAACAGAGACATAAAATCATTATAAACCAATTTATTCAGTATCTAATGTGTGCGGGCAACGATAGAGGACGCAATCTGGCAAGGCATGCTATCAATGAGCTTATTGATGGTTGCTTGAGGTAGCCTTTGCCAAACCACATGTAGATCATCTAGAGTTTGAGGCATTCTTCAGGTTGCCGCCATATCCATTGATGGCCGCCATTCCTCCACAGACACAAACGAGATTCATCTGTAAATAAAACCTGATGTCATTCGATAGTACACGCACTATGACACTGACACCCACCAGGCATCTAGTCTTGTTTTCAGCAGTTTGTTGTACCCCTGTGGCTGGTACCCGTGAACGTACGTGTACTTCATGCAATCTGTTGCGTATAGTTTGGGTGGACACATATCCACCTGCTGCTTGACGCAATGGGCTTTGGATGTGATGTGATGTGGAGAAAAAGTCTCCGATAGTTGACCGTCGAATACGCTGATGTACCTGTGCATGCACGTACACCTTCCTGAATCCATTATGTGACGCAACATTGGACGGTACTCACATTGTGCCTAACACGAGTGGCTACTGTGCGCAGCGACAAACCAAGTTCATAGAGTTCGATAATATGGTCACGTTCCCCAGTCGTTAACTGACGGTATTGAGCTCAACGACCTCTCAGAGGCATCGTCTATACTTCTGAAGTCTCAGATGCTGTTTATGAGAACAGAAAGTAGCTGACCTTTATAGCCCACATATGCGTACCACGATTCAATGCATATGCAACTTTTATCATTTGGATATCCATCTCACAACTCTCGCTCCTGCAATTTGCATGGCACTATGCGCATTCCTTCTTGGTGTTGAAATTCTACATCTGAGGACTGTATTTATTGGGCAAAGACTTAGTTCTAAGCATGTGCATCCTATGTGCCACATATAATGTATTATATATAATCACAATAGTGGGGTTTCTTGGCCAACATACTAACACCCCAGTGGATTGGCTACCCTTCTATTACAGAAAAGTGAACTTTTTCAACCATCTCTGCTGAGTTTTAGAAATATTGGATTGTCTTAAGTTTTCTATAAATATTTCAGTTGTGCCCTATGAAAAATGAGGGGAAAAAAAAAGCTACTTCTTTGAATTTTTTTACACTAACCATTATGAATCTGAAACTTGATTTCTATATCCAAAAATCAAGCCTTCTTTCATTTGAAAAGAACACTTTTGTCCAGTAAATATGAATGAAATTTTTTAAAGTAAGGATTGGATTGGATTGGATTATTTAATTATGGCAAAGCACACGAGGGCTATCTGCCGAAAGGGCCTATTATCTTCGACACTGTTCAGTCTGTTTTCTCACAGTTAATGATCTGATCATCATTCTCTGCTTATCTTAAGGTCTCAAATTATCCATGAATGAAAAAAGGAAGATGCACGTACAACTGACTCGGCAAAATCACAGACTGAATGCCAGTTTGTGTTTGCTTCACTGACTGGTCAGTTCTTGTATTATGCTGGCATAAAGTTCAACAGTCAGAAGGGAAAGGTTTCAGTAAAACCTTTACTGGTAATTTGTAAGGCCTTTGTCTTTGTTAGAAAGATGAAAACAATCACTACGCAGATGAATCCATTTTAAAATTTAAGATACCTCGTTCTCTGAACGTTCTGAACGCATTGAGTAAAGGAGAAATTACACAAATAATACACAAATTTTCAGAACCTGGCTAGAGTGGAAATATGGCATTCACCATCTCCACAAAAGTCCTTATGCAGCCTTCATTTTCATATCTGTTGGGTGAAAATGTATATTTTTTTTATAACAAAAATGTTTTAAATGATATCAATACTCATCTTTTTTACAATTTGAAATCACAAAAATTTCAGAATCTAACTTTTTATACGGACTTATAATTCAAAACCTATAGTTATTACATTCAAAAAAATTTTATACTCATTATAAATTTTTTTTTTAATGTGACTCTTGTTTGGCAAAAATTTCCCAAGATATTTACTTTCAATGTCAGATATCCATACTAAGGTTGTAACCAAATCAAGGAATGAAATGTTTGCATTTGAACATAAATAAAAATCGGTTTTAGAAAAAATGTTTCTGATGTTCACAGATTAAGTGCTTTGTATGCAGTCTTCAAAGGTACTGACAGATATACATTTTTTTCAAAAAAGGGATCTTATGTGCAAAATATCACAGATTTAGTGCTCTAGAAAACACTGGCATGCTTTGCATGTGCACGGACACATAGCTAACTTGTAAACTAGTAACTAACTTGTAAACTGAGGAATGTTACACACTAGTAAATCACAAAAGTATACATAGAATGGCATTTAAAGGAAAAATATCAGCCTCAAATTACTCTTAATTTACTTACTAACGAACCCCTTACCTGAAAGTCAAAATGACACCACAATGCTCAAAACTAAATCCGTCAGTTAATTTTTATCGTATTGCAGTCAAACTTTTTGACTGAATTTTTATGACGAGTATAAAAGTTTCTTCATATAACTACAAGGAACAAGAAACAATACAAATAGTTGACTTCATGAATTTTACAAAATTGACTTTTTAAAAACCTAAAAATTCAACATAATGTATACTTGCATCATTAAAAGCATTTTTAAAACTGGAAGTGTACATCTAGGACCAACAATAATAAAGGCTCTGTAAGGACTTTAATAGACATGGTGCATATCTGTGTGATGTAACGACAAATAATTTTGGAAGGACAGCTCTTTGATAAGGAAATTTCATGCTTGGCTCACATTAATATAAACTGTATGTACTTCTTAAATAACATTTCCAAAGTACTTTAATTATGAATAAATTCACTCAATTGCAAAAAAACTTCTTGACATAGAAAAGAGAAATTGTAGATAATAAATTAAAATATAAAAATTCAAGGATGTGGTTATTCCAGGAAAACAGATGAGTACTTATGTATTAATGCAACCACTTTAGAAGAAGTCACCAAATTTTCAGAATGTGAAAAACTGACAATTAAGGGGTATGCTCATAACAATTTTTCAGTCAAGCAATGCCACCATTTTTGCATGCTTCTTTTTTTTTTGTAGCATTTCAAGTTCCAAAAACAAATCACAATAATTTTTACCTTAAACTTAGTTTTAATATATGAGCTTCTGGAATTTGTCAGCAATGAAAGAAACAGTTGTAAAATTTCTGCAATAATACAGAATTTTGCAGAAAATTTTCTACGAGGAACGACAAGAAAACTCGTTTCTTAGCTAATCACTGTTACTCTCAGGTTTGCATGCTGTCAAGTCTCTGCAATTCTCTTATTATTTTTAAACGAAAAAAGATCCCCATGTGCTTCTTTCACAGTTTTATTTATGAGGAGACATACATGGAAAGGCTAGAAATTTACTGGATGCAAGATGAACTAAATCTATATACACAACATTTAATTCATGAGAAACAAATAGTTGACTTCATGAATTTTACAAAATTGACTTTTTTAAAATCTAAAAATTCAACATAATGTATACTTGCATCATTCAAAGCATTTTTAAAACTGGAAGTGTACATCTAGGACCAACAATAATAAAGGCTCTGTAAGGACTTTAATAGACATGGTGCATATCTGTGTGATGTAACACATTCTCATTAATTAAATGTTACTCAAGAGAACTTTCAAGCAATCAGTAATAAAATTTACAGCATAGTAGTTTCAAGGGAAAATGTATAAGTTAATTTCTTAAATTTTACAAAATGTTAAGTTACAACTTTCAATTACCTTTGAATTAACTCTGTTTCTGCATTCAATCTGTCTGCATCTTCAGCTTTTACTTCAATTAAACGAGTAATAAGTTCTTGGTTCTCTTTCTCTAGCTTTTGTTTCTTTTCCTCTACACTAGAATATGTAATCAGTAAGGCATCATATTCATCTTTGATGAACTAAAAAAAAAAGAGAGAGAGAGAGAGACATTAGAAGCATCTGAAATTATGAAAATAAACAGGGAAAAAACTAACTGTATTAAATGTGACTATTACATGTAAAAGGTAAATGAAATACGAAGAAAGAAAGCATTAAAATCAAACAGCTACCTAAATATTGTGACTATTACAGTTAAAAGATAAAAACTTGCAATTTTGCCAATTCTTTCTAGAAAGCAATCAACAAGTAAAATGGCATCTAGAAATTACAATTCAATTAACTATCAAATCTCAGCAAATCAAATATTGCCCAGAAACTCATAATAATTTTAATAATTACTTATTCAGTAGGAAAACTACATTTCAAAATTACTATTATTACTAGAAATTCCCAAGACTGGTATCAAACAACCATTTATTTCAGATGAACATAAGTTTCAAACAACTTTTCTACCTGCTCTAACAGTGAAAGAACGATGCATGATTTTTAACTTTCTTTTGCAAAAAAATTTCAAGGTGTTCATTTAAAAAAAAACAAAAAAAAAAACAATCAGCTATTAGCAAATTCCGCATCATCAACCATAATTTGGAATGGAAAAGTAGTTTCCCCTTTGCCTGGTAACACAAAATGATCTGAGGTGATTGGCTGTTTCATATTGTGACAAAGCAAAAAAAATTGTTCTAAAGAGTTGTTCTTTAGAAACGTTTTGAATATTGATATGACCTTGATTGTGTTCTACTTTTTTTTTCCTAATTTAAATTCTCTGCTGCACTATAATTTGGAAAATGTTCTCAGTGAAAACAGAATTTAACAATTTTAGGGAAGGCACCATTCAGACTGTACAGTGGTTAAGGGAGCCTGACTGCAATAACCAAAGGGCCCAGGCTCGAATTCTAGAAAAATCATGGACATAAAATTGTCTGTCCTTTCACAGGATATTAGGCGCCTCCACAATAAAATTGCCACAACTTCTGACCTCAGTAATGGCCAATGCTGTTATAGGCAAGTGCCTGCCATTGGGGGAAAAATTTAGGGAAGGTTGACATCAGATTTGTAGACTTAGAATTGTAACAGAAGGCTCACAGCAAAAGATGACAACTACATGGTTTAAATAAAGGCATTATTACAGCATAGTAAATCCTGTGCAAATGCTTCATTATTTATCTTTATTAAATATAATTTAAATAGTGTACAAAGTCCAAAATCCAGACTCATCAAGACTTTAGCAATTCCAGAATTTTCAATATCAGACGATACCTAGTATGAGGACATGTAGAAATTATTAAAAATGTAAAATAATAAAAATATTAAGAAAATCAAAATTTACAAAAAAAGACTCCATATTTATTTGTCTGCTTTATTTTAAAAATTACATTCAGTGTAAAATATTTAAGTTGGTTCTATTCTGTAGTGATTTTAGATGATAATATTTTGTTAAAGAAATTCAGTAGGGCTTCAGTTGCATTAAGTCCAAGATATCTTAAGAGCTCCTCTGAATACTTTAAGGTCAGGACTCTCCCTTGTCCTGTTTCACTAAGCACATAGTCTGAAAGAAAAGGGGATCAGTATCTACATTATTGCATGTTTTATTTATTTCTTAATATGCTTTTTCTCAGTTTTTAAAAGATCAGTCTTTCTCAATTGGCAAAGTAACATTTTGGAAAAATATCTGCAGTATCATTGTCCTCGGCTGAATGCATATATTAGATCAGACTTCTTCATTCCTACTGGCTATCATCAATGTATATTTATGCTTACTTGTTTATTTCACACCTGAGGTCTCTCACTAAGTCAAAACATCAACTTTTTTTAAAGTCAAAACATTTTTGCTCTTTCAGCCATTCTTGCATAGCCTCATTTTCCATTTAGAGGCTTTCAAATGTTCATTCTATAAAGGTATGTATCACTAGGCTTCAGCAATGTTTAATAGATTGTTTAGCAACATCCAATGTTATCTTAACTTTTAAACACAAGGTTCGTACACATTTCTGCACAAGGGAATTAAGTACTTTTAAGGACTATTAAGGACCATTAATGAAAAAAATTAAGGACCTATCAGCAAATGGGAGCTGAATAATTCAATAAAATTCAATCTTATGTCTGAACTTCACTTTTGTAATAACACTCTAAGTATAAAAAAGATTCATAAGTAATATGCATTCTAATTAAACATAATTTAATAAACATAACTATAAAACAAATCTGAAAATAAAATCCACTTTATAAAATTTTTTTATGTAGCATTAAATATTTTACACGTATAGTAATTGGACATATTTGAAAGATTAGGGACATTTTATTTACATTTTACTAACAGTTAGCTTTATGTTGATTTTTTTTCTTTTATGCCTCATTTTGCCACGTACTTAGTCTAGAGGTTTAGTAAATAGCACGTAGATTTTTATGTCAAATGGCATAGGTTAAAATGAGAAATAAAATCATAATCAGCATGATTCTTAACAGAAGGCTGCTCTGCCAGTGTTGCTGCTTGCCTAGCAAGGGATCTGTTGAAAGCCTGATGTAGGCATGGTTGGCAGGTTTTGAAAGTTTGTTGTGCTTCGTCTGTCTGACACAGTTAGTGTTGCAGCTTCATGCAGAGTTTCTGGAATTGACACTCAGTTAATATATTTTAAGGTTCCAATAAGCTACTAATGATCAGAGGTGACAAGTTGATTTGTATTATTTTAAGTCTTACTAGATGCAAAGAATAAGTTTTACATTAATTTTTACATTTTGTCACTGTATCTTGTGACCACAGTAAAGATTGATGAAAGGCAATATAAATTGTTTTAATATGCAAAGATAACCTTTAAAGGTGAGCAGTTAGTTACAAATAACTAAATTAGGTAGTTAAATAAATTTAGATTAAGACACAATAACACGCCGAATAAATACTAATTCAGAAGTCAAACAACAATAATCAGCGTTACATTTACAAAACTTTCACAGGACCAGCCTCGATGGTTTTACCGAACCACCATCCTCAGCTTCAAAACCTTAGATGTTATAGATTTACATGACTACTATTACATTTTCTTTATTTTTCAAAAACATTCGTTAAAGAAGCACTATTAAAATCACAATCTAATATCATTTCACAGTTTAAAATGCATGCGATTTATGACATTCATTGATTCTTAAACAGTAATAGGATAATTCCCCATTAAAAGCTACAAAACATTTATGCTTTGTAGCAAAAACACACAACAAAATATTTACTCATCTTTTTAATTTAAAGCCGTCCCAGACATTTTGCTTCATTTATAATAACTTCTCTTTAAATATCTTTTCTAACAATTAGAAATCTGTTTCAGTACATAAACCAATGTTCTGACAAGTTTATGTGTGCTTTATCTCTTAGCTTGTCAATCTCTTAATCCTAACGAGGTTTTACTTCATCTGGTAAAAGTTAAGTAGTCCAAAACCTCTGATAGACATGAAGCAAATTATTGCTATGTCTGAATAAAGACTTAAATGAACCATTTATTTAAAAAGAACTTAGAACACACAGGCACGTTCTTATGTTTACAAATTCAACTACAGCTTGTGGTGATGGAATTCAACAGGAACAGTTAAATTCAAACAAAACTACACAATTTAATTTTAATCTAGGCTGACTCAGTAACTCTATTGTCATAACAAATCCAAAGGTTAGCAGCGGATATCGCAAAGATGAATAATTAAAATTTATCAGGGCTGTCAGGACCTAAGGCAACATCCAAGTGGAGGGCAAAAACTCTCTGTTTTACAATTCAAAAACCTTAGTTTAGAAACTATCTGATTTGCATTTTGGTGAGGAACAGAAAGGGGAACTTATAGTAAAGGCTAAAATTATAAACAACTGATTAATTTACACAATAATAACTGTAAAGATCTTCGAAAAATAATTTTCTTCCTCTTTATGTATTCAGTTTGTTACTTTAATAAGTTTTCTCTTCACTTTAGAATTTTTGGAATTAATTGATTCCGGTTATTCTAAAAAACTAGATGCATTTAGAATGTAAAGAAACAGCTGAACATTCAGCATAAATATGAAATGATGTATGGTAAGAGCTGGTTTCAGAGACGATGCGGCAGAATTTTTAGAATTTTACGGCAAACTGAGCAACAAAATCTAGAATGGCAAAATTTTTAGAATTTAGGCACAGGGAGCAGAATTTAAGATCCACAGAAATTGAATTACACGGATGTATGATTCATCGAGACATACAAGGTGAATCTTTTAAATTGTCAGTTTTCAATTTCTTTATTAATAGAAAAATTCTTTTAAATGCCTGTCCACGCAAAAAGATTAGAAACATTTTTGATATTTTCCATACTTATGTCTAAATAAAGGGAAGATAACATACTTCTAGTATCAGAAGTACAACATTCAAAGATCATGTTTTCATTGTCCTTCCAAAAATTCTCCAAAATGTATGAAATTCATCACAAATTTTCGGAAAAATATATCCATTATGTAATGATACAATGAACACATTTTTCATTCTGTCGCATTTTCTGGAGCCTTCTAGAATTGTGGATCTAAATTTTGCCTTCAAATCATTCTAAATTTTCCAAATTGCAATGTTTAAAATCCTAAAGAAAAATTAGCCCTACCAATTCTGTAACATAAAAAAGGCCAGAAGTATTTTTGAAAAAATATCAGTGGAAAAAGTGTAAAATTAATTTTATGGAGAAAACTGCTGAATATTCTGAGAATATTACATGGGAAAAATTCTTACCACGAAAAAATTAAAAGAAATTTTTAATTAATTACACAGCTAGTCTGCTTTTGCTATGTACTGTTCTGTAAACTATGCTTTATAGCATTTATTACTTTGTTTCTCAGATTCAAAACACTGTATAAGTTGCCAAAATGGAAAATAATGTCACTTTATAATATGACAGCAAAAAAATAAAAATGTTTTATTTTAATGTTATTTTTAAATATAATTACAATATATTAAAATTATTTTAATGAAATTTAGCAACATTACAATGTTTAAAAAAAATTGTCAAAAAATGCCTAGATCTTGGAATTAAAAATTTTCTATAGAAATTTATGTTAAAAGTCGGCAACATGTTGATAAGGTGACAAATTTAGAGCCGTTTAATAAAAGAATTCACATCCCCAAAAGCGGAATGTGTTAAAGAGCTCTTCATTAGAAAAAAATGAAACAATTTTGAAATGCTTTTTTTGACTCCTTGCTCAGAAACTCCAGTATCATACCCTTTACATTAAAAATAGGAATAAAATATAACCCATGAACCCATTCAGAAGATAATCATATTTGCCAGTGAATCATCAAAAATATTCCTCTAAAATGATAATTCACACTCAAAATAGCAGTCATAAAAACAGGACAAAAATTTCAGATGATTAAAATTCTGCCGATTTTGGCCAAAATTAAGGACTTTTAAGGACCAAAAATCGATTCCAAAAAACCTAAGGACTTTCAAGGACAGTATGAACCCAACACTACTACTGAAATAGATGTAACACTAATCTGAAATTTCTCCAATTACTCTTGGGAAAATTACAAAAATATTTCCATCTCGCTTTTTTGAAATTCTACATCTGCAGAATTTCTTGATAGGATTCCTTCCAAGTGTTCTTACATTTCTTATGCTTCATAACATAGGTGACAAAAATCTGGATCTTTCAAGATCTGTAAATGTAAATCATGCACTAAACAAAACCAATACTAAATCTGGATTATCAGACAAACCATTGCAGTTTAAGAAGCTTGAGTATATTTTATCATCTACAAAATGAATCTGCCTTGTATCAGTGAATTGTTGCAATTCTTTCCCAGATGCAATATAGATCTAATATTCCCAAAAGCTAGAACAAACATAAAAATCTCCCATTACAATAGTCTTATGCACTCTAAATGTGAATAAGCCAACAGTATTACAATAAGGTATGATCAAGCATTCAATAAAATGGGATATGTCCAGTGATTTAAGTCACTTTCTCCATCATCTCTCGATGTGTAACTTGTATACAAGCCAATTTCCCTTCCCTTACAATTTATACGAGCCAAAGTCCTCCACGAAGGCATCCATCCCCTTAGGCAGATAGCCATAATTTTGCTTTGCCATAATTAAATAAACCAAACCAAACCATCATTTCTCGAAGTAAAAATATTGACGTGCATTTTCCATACCAGATTTTTTTTTTCCCTTAATGGAGAAACATATTATTCCTCATTCTCAAAAAAAGATAAAACAAGATCATTATAAGCATTTTTCAAGCAGTTCTAAACCAGGGTTCGTAGCCACATTTTAGTTAAAAAAATAAGCACGTATAAGCACTTTTCAAGCACATTTTAAGAAAAAAAAAAAATAAGCACCTGTCTAATTACATTATACACAACTGCATAACCTTAAAAGAAAAATTAGACTTGCAATCTAAAATATGAGCAATGCAATATTTATTAAGAGAATGAGCATTAATTACCTCAACCATGGAAAACAATTAACCTATTTTTTTTTTTAATTTTAAATGACAGTTCAATTTACAGAATTAGTTTACAATGAGAGAAAAAAAACTATGCAGAACTAAACTATATTCCAAGATTTAATGATGAAATTTCAGTTCAAAATATATAATAATAAGCCATATTAATTGTATTCGCTTGGCACCTAATAATAAATACAATTAATTTTTCCACTCATATTAATATTTAAATAATTTAACTTAAATCAAAATTCTGAACATTTTCTAAATTTTCATAGCATAACAGTTTTCCCTTAACATAGTATATTCCAAGCAAAGTAATTTAAGTAAAAAAGAGGAACATTTCTTTAATCAGGAGACGGGAAATTGCTTCATGCAGTCATCCTTTAACAGTAAAAGCTTAACTAACCCGCACATACTCGGAAATAAGAAATTGCCGAAATATTCGTATAGTCGAGCGTAACTGGAAAAAGAGGAGGGGGGGGGGAGGAGTAGATTGTAGCCGTTCTTTAGATTTCAGGGCTAAATAAATGATTTTGACATTTCGATATGTGCATCATATAAAAATAGACCAACGGAACTGAGAAATATTCTGCTTAGAAAGCACAGTAAAACTCTTTTAAGTGTTCATAAATAAATCTCAGACTGAACATCAAAATTAATTATCTCTGCAAAATACCGCAAACATTATTGTGCAATACGTGCGGCGTAATTCTTCCATACGTCATATTATGCAATCGGAATCAACAGCTGCCAGTATTCGGAGAATAAAGAACTAAATAAAGGAAAAGAAAGAGACTTACTAATCTGGGGTGTTTTTGATTCTAATTTTGAACAGACTGCGTTAAATTTTCCGAATAGAATCATTCTTCGCTTGGGTTGGGTAGACCGCAAAACTTTTAGTCCTATTCAATCCCGATTGAACAGTGACAAAAAAAAAAAAAAAAAAAAGGGGGGGTCTGCTGCCTAAATATTAGAGATTTTGCGGAGAAAGGGGAGAACCTCCCAACCTCCGTACTGTATAATGTATTGGTATTGGCAAAAAAATAAATAAATAAATTATTCTCACTATTCAATTACTTTCCTTAAGCCATTTCGAATATTATTCCTCAGAAAGCTAATCTGTGTAAAAATACACCTATTTTTGGAAGTTTATGTACACTTCAACAGCTACTGCAACTATATTATAAATATTCATACATATGCTCATAATATAAGCATAACGATCATAATAAACACGAATATGAACTGTCCACGCGGAACGAGAATGCAAATTATTAAAATCTTGACAGAAATTCAAACGTGTGTAGTATTTGGGTGGGAGAAAAAGAATACTGAATGTACCAGAATTTTCTATGGTTTTCGCAATTCTTTGAGCAATAGAACGACGTGCACCTGTCTGTACTCTCGAGCGCACAATAGGTTACGTTAATGCAGATAAAGGGGGAAAAGCTAAGCTATTTCCAGGAGTATGATTCACCATTTGACGTTCCATATAAGAAAGAAAAGTTGTTTATTTAGTTTGGGCTTTGGTAGGGGGGGGAATGCGCATTCATTAAAAAAGCACTAAGAGCAAAAAATAAGCACTAGAAACAAAAAATAAGGGCTTTAAAGAAAAAGCAAGCATCTATAAGGGCCTTTATATTTTATTTTCAAATATAAGGACTTTTAAGCACTTGTAAGGACCGCTACGAACCCTGTAAACATGAGATCTATCATTTTGTTTGTTTTTTTTTCCACACACCAAGTCCTTACTTTTTTATGTACCTAACTTATAAGAAATCTTACGTTTTAAAAATTTTATAGATTACCCTTTCTGATTTCACAGATTCATTTGTGTATCTCATTTCATACATACTTATAATAATATAATCTCCCTATTTAAAGTAAACTTGGTTATAAGTTTCACAGAGCTAGTTAAAAAACATACATTCACATAATTCACTAACCTGTAAATTATGATCAGTTTCTGACAACTTTTGTTGCACTTTTTTCAACAGCTGTTCTGTAGCATTCAGAGAAGTTTCCAATTCCAAAATCCTGGAACATTAAATCACTATATATTAACATACAATATTATTTTCCATATTATTTATTTTTATTGCAATATCAGTACAAATAAGTAAATAAAGAAACACAATAAAATTTTAGCAAAGTTAGGGTTCTCAACAGATATCAGTGTGTCCATTTTCAACGTTCCCATTAGCTCATCTGAATTGAAGAGTTCACTCAACAGCCTCAAAATATGCAAGTTCCCAGGTGAGAACAATGTATTCACTGAATTCCTCATGCACTTGGGCCCTGGAGCTTTTGAACCGATTCTTTTGTTCTTCAACAAAATTTGGACTTCAGGCTGTCTTCCCTCCCTTTGGTGTAAATCTACAGTTATCCCGATTGACAAAAAAGATAAAGACCCAAGGGATGTCCAGAACTATAGACCAATCTCCCTGATAAGTAACTTCTGTAAGGCCATTGTAAATGTTATTATTAATAGATTAAATTGTTTTTTGGAGACAAGAGGCATTCTCAAAGAGAAGCAAGCTGGATTCCGAAGATTCAGATGTACCAACCATCAAGCTTCCCTCCTTAGTCAGTCTACCAAGGATGCTCTTGAGAATATGCATATTTTATGTGCCATCTTCATCAATTTCAAGTCAGCTTAAAAACAGTTTAATCCTCCAGTAAATAATGGCTGTATTAGGGTATTGCAAAAAGAGGTGCCAGCTTACTACAATCTAATACAGCCATCTCTTAATGGAGGGTTTAAACTGTTTTTAAAAAGTTTATTTGTGTCTAATATCCTAAGATATCTTCAGACTTGTAGAGCCTTAAAAAGTTGGAGAATGATAAGTCCTCTTATTCCTGATAGTCGAAGACACAATGCAGTTCTGGCTTTCCATCTGTCTACAGTACATGATTACATAGCCACTCACCTGCATCACATAGACATTTCAAGCAATCCTATTTGCCCACTTTGTGATTCTGGAGAAGAAATGGATAGGGACCACCTGCTTTGATGTGGGGTTTTTCGTGGTCTTACAGACAAGTTGAGATACAGAGGCCAAGAGCACTATTTCGGCAATGATTTCGTCTTTTTGTTCTCAGTTCTATTGTTTGTAACCTCTGTTTATAAAATTTTAGTGCTTTGTAACTTTTTGCGTAGCCACTGGAAAAAAAAGAAAAAAAAATTATTTGAGAGAACTGGTCTGAGGAAAATAACATGAAAGTAAACCTACATTAAGACATTTCTGCAGTCTTTTTCTCCATTGCATCAGCCTTTCAATCCACAGATAGTTTACAAAAACTGTAATATCCCAATGTCAGAAAAGATCAAATATTTAGTTGTAACTTCTGACAAAAAACTTTCATGGAATTTGCATATTTAAGACGTCATCAGTCAGGTATATAAAAGACAGTCATTGCTGAAGAACTTTGGCTGGATCCAAATGGGGTTACTCCAGATCTATCTTAAATCAAATCTATAATGCATATATATTGCCTGTCATAACTTACTGCTGTGAACCACTTGTTACTGCTTCTAAGAAAATAATTGATTCCCTTGAAAATTTTCAAAAACCAAGCCGTGCGTCTCATTACTGAAGCAGTGAAATCTACCCCTATTTGTTATTTATTGTCATGCTCAAATAACAGGCCTCTCAATCTAGTTATTAAGGAACATGCTCTGCTGTTATGGAAGAAAATTATTAGAACTCCTGGTCTGACCATGTAGGATCATATCTCTACTGAGACTGACCATAATCTAAAGACTCAGAAAGGTTTGTTCAAGGGGGGTCATTGATTCGATTTCTCAACTTTACATCAATTTTGGAATACTGAAATCTTTATTACCCCGCTGCCTCATCAAAGCCAAAACATTTTCTGTTTGCCTTGACTTGAGTCAGAATGTGTTAAAAGCAGAGGACTGTGATGAAATCCTAAGATCTGTAACATATGAAACTATGAATAATCATTACCCTGTTTTGCTCAAGGTCTATCTATATACAGATGGTTCTAGGGTGGAAGATTGTGCCAATGCAGAAGTTGGTGTTTTTTGTGATCTCTTTTCATTTTACTCTGCTGTTGATGCTTGCATGCCAGTTTTCAAAGGAGAAATCTCTGGTATTCGATTGACCCTTCAACTACGAAACCGACTGGAATGTTTAGCCCTGCTAGTCAATCCTGTATAAAAGATATCAACAACTGCATCAGTCTTTTGGCATGTTTATCAGATTGTAATAAAACAATTGTCCTGTAGTGGATCCCGGCCCACTGCGGAATTAAAGGGAATGAGACCGCTGACTTTTTGGAAAAAAGAGGGCTTCTGTTTTACATCTAAATAACCAGAAACTGGCCTACCAATCTACTAAAGCCTTGGTTCAATAATATTCTCAAGACATCCTGAGTGGCCTCATGATAAATCGGTGACACTGTTATGGCCATTTTCCGGCCACGACTGTCTCTGGAAACACATTCATGCTTGGACCCTGCTTGTCCCTCATGCAACTCTATAGAGTATTTTGACATTTCTACCTTGCCTCCTGCCTGCTCTACTTCCTGTTTTTATGTGAATGACATTGGATTGCCAGACTTAAGTTGATAGATTAGCCAAAGTATTTCCATCTTTATGTTCATTTCTTCTTGTTTTAAAGACATCTGTTGTCCTGTATACTTACCATTAGAAATAAAAGAAATACTTTAATTTTTACTCATTTTATCACCCATTTGGATCAGATATCCAAGTTGGCAGAAAAAATTTTCCCTAACAGTTCTAAAAAAATTGCCAAACATGGAAATTAGATATTTTAAAAGAAAGTGGGAAGACATGTACTACATTTTTATATAATTTTACTACATTATTGGAATATTAATAACATCACAATATGTTAATATACCTGAATAAAATCAAAGAAATTCGTAAATTACCAACTCAAACATTACTAGACTAAAAGCCATTTTAAATTCAGTAAAATGGTGATAAATCACCAAGTGACACACAGTGAAAGTAATGAAATGATCCAATAGTTTCTTACTCTCTGCTCAAACAAAAGGATTTGTTCATTTTTCACCACACGATCTGACAGCAAAAACATCTGGCCTAAAAGAGATTTCCCAACAAATCTCTATACTAGAAAAATTTTTGGCACCTTTTCAAAAAATAACATAAAATTAATTTAAAGGAGGGACAGAAAAATACTTTACACATAAAGTCGTAAAACGACAGCATTTTCCATAAAAATTATGAAATTTCATGAATTTGGTATGTACAGTATTACTTTATTTGCATAAATTTCAGTCTTTAATCAAAAATGCTTCTTCAGTTTTCCAATAAAACTCCAGTCTGCAGTTATTTGAACTTTGATTACTGAGAGGATACGGCTGATTCTTAACACTCAAAAAGAGGGCTTGAAAGTTGAAACTAACTGCTAAATTCCTGTATATGAAGAAAAAAATCAATAAAATAGAAAAACGATTTTAGTCGTCAAAAGCAAACTTTCGCTTACAATTCAACAATCTTTTCCTCTCAATAGCCTTAAATCAAGAATATACAGGTATAAAATTTTGTTTTGCTAAACACCAGTCCGTCCTTTGAAGTCAATTGTAATCAAATTCTTCTTTGTAAATACTGCTATTTTACAAGCTGCAGACAGCAAGCAGCTCTAAAATTTTATTTTGTTTTTAACTGAGTATAAATTTTTCCTATATAAGTATAATTAAAGGGATCAGGCCATACAAAATATCAATCTTGTAATTTATATATATATATATCGGCTACTTAGAATAAAAAGAATATGTAATACTACAGAACACTTACAAGAAGAAATACTTTACATCGACACAATTTTGAAAAATAACCAAATTCCTCATAAAATAATTAGAAATACCTTAAAAAAAGCTGGCATTAGCCTTACCAATTTTTAGATAATTGATTTTGGATAATGAAATTTTAAGCTTAAAGCCCACGGGAAGGCATAAAGTGGATGGCTGATTCAGATTATCTAATGTAAAAATTGTATAAATGTACAGATTGTTCTCCTACATACATTTTCTTTCCTCCAAAGATTTTGGCACTATACTTTAATACTATTATGTAATAGTTTTAAATTACTTAGAAGGCCAAACTCTACTTTTATTAACAAATCGGGCCTTTTCATTTTTCATAGTAGCTTGACCGCCCTCTAGCTTGAAGAATGACGACTTTTATTAACAAAAGACTTTTTTCCAATTTACTCTTTCTTTTGTGGCCAAAAATAAGTAATTTTAGCTGAGTTAGCCATTTTCATTTATTTTCAACAGTTTTGTTCTAACAACTTGACTGACGCCATTTTGAGTTCTTTCCGTGTCTTTTCTCGTCTGTCACACCCTCTATAAAAAAGGGGGGACAAGAATTCCCGACAAACCACAATCTTAGCCCATTGGCCTATACAGTTTTTATTGTTTCGCCTAGCTACGTCACTAGATGATAAGGAAGGTTGGTTTGGGCACGGAGGAGTTTTGCACCCTTTTCCAAAAAATTTTTCGGATGCAAAGGACGGCACCTCTCAGGTCAGTTTATTCATTTCTATTATCTGTGTTTTTTTGCTCCTAATAAGACCCTGCGACGTTTTGTTTTCTTACAAATTTAATTGCATTTTTATTTGTTTACAGCACCATTCTCTTTATAAAAGTTCCATCTTCTTTAAGGTTTAAAGGACCAGCCCGTACGTTGTTGTAATTTTTGACTAATAGCAGACTGCTAATTATTTTATTTTATTATGATTTTAATATTACATTGCTCGGAGTTGCAATTGCTTTTAACACCCTAATGTGTATTTCAGCGGACGCGTCGGGAAAAAGGAACAGAGCAGTGAGGCTCCAAAAATTTTGGAGATTATTCGGGACTTTTCATGTTTTAATGAAAACAAGATTGCAAGATTGCAAGATTTATTCGGGACTTTGACAAGATGTTGCAAGATTTATTCGGGACTTTTCATGTTTTATAAAAAAATTTTTTCGCTTTAAACAAGAGCTTCAATGGTCTGTTTCGGGAAACACGTAATGGT